ACAGGAAGCGTTTCCACTTCGTAGTCAGCGAAGAATACAACGCTTGGGTGTAAGACTAATCCGATGCCTTATCAACTGGCGACAATACAAGGCTAAGCAGCTTTCCTCGCGCTTATCTCTCAGTCTTAACGAATGATGATTTCAGTAAAAGTTTCTTGGGATTTCATCAGAGAAAGTGACATACCTAGAAGGTCAAATGCATGTACTACATTATGCTTAGCCAATGAAGTTATATTTGCGCTCCATACAGCCACACCAGCTCCAAATCCATGCACCAGAACAACTGGCTCGTCGGATTTTTTTTCTTGCGTTGGTTCCACTGTGACAGTATATATCTCGCCGCCTTTGAAACGAATCTTAAACAAGTTGATTGCGAAGTGCAACAATACACCGAAGAAAAAATAGATGGCCTGTGAACTCACGGGTACAAATCGTGACAGGATTTGAGCCCCAAACGTCGCGAAAAGGCGTGCTTCAGCTTCAGCGAGTCTCATTAAGGAAGACTTGCCCCAGCCAAACCAACTACTGAAATCGATGCTAAAAAGGCAATAAAACTGTTACCACTGCCGAATCGTTGCAAGAAAAAAGTAACTAACCTAGTGCTACTCTTACTTGCTTCCACCTGCATATAGAGACGTCTGTTGGTTGCGTTATTGAAGTGCTATTAGTATATTAGTAACCTGAAAACAAAGCAATCGCTATATCGGTAGAATGTTCTGTGGAAACGTTGTATGAAACTACAATTCACGAATTACATAGCCGGCCTGATGAGGATCATTACGCAACTTTAAGGTTCAAATCAGTAGCTGCTTTACAAGGAACTGCTGGGATGAATCGGACTTACAAGGTTCCAGTTGACAAGAGCCGAACATTAACATTTTTGAGGAGCGGATTTCGGAATACCTTCGTTATAGGAAATCAATATCTAATTATGCGAAAAAGCTATATCTAAATCACCCAACCTAAGTACAACTGGCGATGAGGAGTATACAATGAACTAAAAAAATGATGCAATTGTTGCCTGCAGGCACAATTGTAAACGATTGTTTAGAAGGTAAACAAACAAAAAATCGTGATAACATTTTATCAGCTTCTCTAGCGTGTTCTACATACCCTTCTGTTCGAGGCATCACTGAGATCTATGAATACTAATTCCAAATTGAATTTGTTTTGAAGAAAGAGTAGAACAGAACTCGGGAATGGCGACCACGGCACTGATTCTAAAAGTTTACAAAAAACGTGAACTTTCGCGAGCTTATGTCAGAATTCACGAATAATATGACTTCGGAAGTAAAACAAGACACAAAATTTACGAATCCAGAAACGGGTTCTACTTAAAGAGTGCCATGGAACTGCTCTTTACGTGATTCAAGTTTTTTTTTTTGTTCCAATGACATTTCTTTCCATTAGGATTAAGTGTACACGACGTAATGACCCATACCATTGCAAATCACATCTAACACGTACAAAAATCAGTTTTAAAACCACAACAGTATTAGGAAGAAGACCGGATCGAAGCAATCAATACGGGGCAAGTTCTGCTTCTTAAACCGTTGCAACTTTTCGAAGTGACCCTCACTTAGCATGGTTTGCGCACTCTTAAAGTATAATTTACACATTTCTCATGTCTTTAAACATTACTCTCGAATTGAAAAATGCACTGAAAACGGTTAGGCGTCAGATAGCTGCTGTTTACGTTACATCAATGATAAGGAGTTTTTAATAAAGTAACAACAAATAGAGTTTCTGTGACTTAAATATATTTTTTTAGCTGATGTATTGCCTGACCTTTTAAATAGAGCTACTCATAACTGAGGTAAAAACGGAGCGGAGTATAATGAAATATAGAGGCAATTAAAAAACCAAGCGAATAACGCGCCAAAAAATGGCGAACGCGACGCGTTTGAAGTCGCGCGGCGGTGAGACTTCTGCAGCAGGTAGGACGTGCTTTTGCAGCTTTTTGCAGTACACCGAGTAAATCAGGGCCACTTTGCAGTTTCCAGGGGTTGCTCAGCATCCTTGCTGACATCACGTGCCGGTCATGAGGTGGTGAAAGTGGAACAAAGCGCGAGCGAATCGCAAGTCGGACGGAGCACTCCGTGCCGCGGAGCGGTGTTTCCTCGTCGCGCGCGGGATCCGCCGCGGTGATGTGTCTCATGTTGAGGTGATGACAATTCCCTGAAGATGCCATGAGATCGGACAAGGAGAGCGAGTTTATGATAGGAACAATAAACATAAAGCACTTGGTACTCTCCTTTTTTGAGATCGCCATGACTTACTTCCCTTCAAAATTGTAGCTAGTATTTGAACGCCATTTTGCCCAATACAGTAACTTGTGGGGGACAGTCGATGTACAAGTCAGTGTTTTACCCCACCAAACAAATCTGATAAATACCTATTATCGCCACCCGATGGATGGAAGGGTTTGCTGGCCTTGGACGACTTACGATTCAGAATTTGAACCGCGGATCGCGCGCGTGGTGAGCACGCCTTCTGCCAGTACACGACTTCCACCCAGAAAAAGGAATAGCAGTAATATTGAGAAGTAAGTATTAACGTAATCAAATAGGTAGGGGCCCTTCTACTGAATGAGCAGAATCAGAGCTCTGTCAGAGCCGCAGTGACTCACGCGCCTTTGAAAGTGCAAATAATCCCTGGAAACGAGCGTCAATCCCTGAAATGTCCGAAAAGCATCGGAGCACGTGGGAAGAGAAAGGGTTAATCATCTGCAACATTCACAAGCTTAAGAGCATGGCGCAAAAATGGTTTTTATGGTCCATATTCCGTCTAGAAAGGGCGGATATTGGTGCAGTAGTAAGCACTAGTGAGGCACCATCGAAGATTCCTTTATAGAGGATTGTAATTGACTCTAGGAGGGAGTGGGATCGTATCAATTGGAGTGGTTGACGCATTTTCGGGAGAGCGCCTAAGATTTGGTCAGCGCGTAAAGAGTTTTTGGGAAGAGTTATGAGAATTTTCGAGATTTTTTTTTGAAGTTCCGAGAACTTTATAGATATTCCACGAATTTTGCGAAAATACCAAGGTTTCTGCTGGTGTTAATAGATAAAGGATGAATCCTAGCGGTAATTAACTCGTTTTGGTATGCGCCACGCACTCCACTGCCATTTAGAACCGTGAGCCAGCCAGCCGATGTACAAGTCAGTGTTTTTATCCTCCCAGACAAGTCTGGTACCAATTAACCGACCCCGGAGGGATGGAAGGCTTGGTTGGCCCGGGCGACTCACGACCCAGGATTTGATCCCCGGACCGCTCGCGTGGTAAGCGCGCCACTTGCCACTACACCACTTCCTTTCCTTTGCTATTGTCGTTGTATTTATTGAATAGCCTCGTCTTCCTCTCTACAGTTTTTGTTCTGGAGATAATCAAGTAATTTCATGCAGGACGGAGAGGATGGGTAGAAGTGAGACTTGGAGAAAGAGGGTTAGCCCTAGCACCCTCAGGCTGAATGTCGTGCTAACTCTGTGGGGATGGGGATCGTATTAGGCGTGAAGGCCGGCAGATGACTGTTAGCCATGCCTGACCGGTTGTATTAAATAAATACATGGCTCAATCTAGTTGCAAGCGGATTCGTGCCGTGACACGGTCCAGAGATGAAATTGCGGGCTAAGGCCGATGTCAGACTTTGCGAATCGAGCGATTCGCTAGCGTCTGCGGTCGCGTCGCGGCCAGTGAATCACTCAATTGGCTGGTACCGCAACGCGACCGCGGACGCTAGCGAATCGCTCGATTCGCAAAGTCTGACATCGGCCTAAATCTCGCCTAGGGCCGCAGTAATAGTACGACCGGCAGCGCATCTTGAAAAAGCAAAGTTGATTTATTGGGTCTGGCAGTCGTGCTAAACTGAGAGGTTGTGGGTTCTTTGAGAGGTGACAATTCCCTGCCTTCTGAGCCTTTTACCTCGTGTAGATCAAGAGTAGTGATCAGCCGACCGGTGATCGGATCGATTTTTGGCGTCATTCACCGCGCAGCCGTCATGATGGAATGTAAGCTTTTCCTTCTCGTTCCCTCTTTATTTGTCTTATCTCATTCTCTTCAATTCACCAGCTCATCTGTGCGCTCTTCTGTGCATTACTTCGTACCGCCGTAAATCCAATTTTCGTAGGGTT